GCCCCGGACCTGCCCCGGCCCCGGCTGCGGCAGCGGCAGCGGCGGAGCCGGCGGGGCGGCGGCGGCGGCGGGATGGCGGCGCCGCTGAGCGACGGGGACCGTCGGAAGCAGATCAGCGTGCGGGGCATCGCGGGGCTGGGGGACGTGGCGGAGGTGCGCAAGAGCTTCAACCGCCACCTCCACTTCACCCTCGTCAAGGACCGCAACGTCGCCACCCCCCGCGACTACTACTTCGCGCTGGCCCACACGGTGCGCGACCACCTGGTGGGGCGCTGGATCCGCACCCAGCAGCACTACTACGAGCGGGACCCCAAGGTGAGCGCCGGGGGGACAAGGGACTGGGGCGCGGCGGCTGTGCCTTCTTCGCAGGTGTCTCCGTGTCCCCCTGACGGGTGTCACTCCAGGCATGACCCATGGGCATTCCCTCAACCTTGTCTCTTGCGTGCACCTGGCTGTGGCTGTGGCCCCTTGTGCATCACCACGGCTCCTTGCCATGGCCGTGCCGCTCGTGCATCCTGCCATCTTCCCTGTGGGCATCCTCACGCTTGCATCCCTCACACTCTGCTGTGGCTGTGTCCCCCTGGGCATTGCCATGGCCATGTCCCCATGGCAGCATGGCCATGTCCCTTGAATGCACTTCACAGTGGCGGTGTCCTCATGAGCCTTGGCTCAGCCATGTCCCTCACACAGATCTTGCCATGGACATCACCATGGCTGTGTCCCTTGTGCAGTTTGCCATAACTGTGTCCCCACAAACTCTTTTGTAGTCTTGTCTCAATGAACCTTGCTGCAGCATTGTCCCCCCTCAAAAACCCCCATAACTGTGACCCCCTACGCCTTGTTGCAGCCATGTCCCCTGTGATCCCACTCTGAGCATGCCCTTCCATGGGCCTTGCTGGTGCTAAATCTTGTGCACACTTCACCGCGGCCACGTCCTGCACTGGCACTGCTGCGGTGGTGTCCCCTGTGGGCATCGTCACCTCCATATCTCAGCACATGCCTCAGCACAGCCATGTCCTGACTTCACTCCTGCAGAATATGCAGGCAGCTCGGCTTTGAGACCAGAGAGGAGTTTCTTGCCTTGTGAAAACCAGACAAGCTCTCCCAGGTAACCAAACCCTGGGGTTTCTTCCCACTTGTCAAGTCAGGACAGCGATGCTGGAGGAGCTGGGGGCTGCAGGACATTTAAATTGAGACCTGATCCAGCATTTGAGTGGAGAGCCACAGAGAGCAGGTACTAGGAAAGGCACATACCTTCCCCTTGTGCAGGCAGCTGCCTCCCTGAGTCAGCTCATTTCCCAATATTATGAATATTGCCTTGACACAAGAAGCAAAGTGCACTTTCACAGTGGAATGGCTGCACATACACTGGAAGTTACACTGGTGCACGGGGCTTTTATCCTTACTCACACAAATGTACCCTGATGTGTATTGCTGCAACAGAAGGAATTGTGCAGATCCCATAAAGGCTCAGAGGAGCTTGGAGCGAGTTTTCTTACTGTCCCCCACCCTTAGATTTTCATTAGGAATGTGTTTCTGTGGCAGACTGAAAGGGGCAGAGCATTTGTGCAATTGTGCAATGTTTTTGGTTTTTCTGATGAGCCCCAGGGAATAGACAGACCCTTTCAGACTCCCAGCAGAGGTGGCAGAGTGGGTAATCCTGCTGCTTAGCAGGGAAGGATCCAAGCTACAGTGGAAGGAGATTCAAGGGAAAGCACAATTTAAAGTCAGGTTATTGCTCTGTTAAAAATTCCTGTTTGTTTATAAAAATATCCACAGCAATAAATCTGAGTGAGGGCAAAAGTTTGCACAGCCTGTTTCTTATCCCACACACAGGCTTTCGTTAGCATTCGTGGCACAGACGCGGCTCCTCTCAAACTTGGAGGGTCACAACGGAGCAGCCTGTCGTGCACAGTTGTGCCAGGAACCCTGCCACCCTTGGGACAGTTTATTTGTTCAACAGGATGAAACATATGAAACTCAGTGTGGGGAGAACAGGAAGACCTATGTGATAGGAGTGCTGGAAAATTGCCAACAGGAAGGTGCTGGTCCTGGGCCCAGCCAGCCTGTGCAGGGCAGGGGTCTCACTCTGGCTTTCGGGAGGCTCTGGATCAGCTTCAGCCTAGCCTGGGAAAACTTTAAAAGCCCAGCGTAAACATCACCTCAGCTGAGCCTGACAGTGTATAAATATACTATTCAGGATCCTAGATAATTCTTGCCCTGAGTTAATTAGGGAAACACTTAACAGGCAGCGAGATTTTTCTATAGAAGGCTGTTGGCAGGGAGATGCGTGGCGGAGGCTTGGCCGCCATCCCGTGCAAGATTCTTCTGACAAACAACTGTGGTGCGTGGTGTTCAGGAGCAGGCGCCAAGAGCCAGTCTGGGAAGACATCCCTACTCTGGAAAATGCTTGGGTCTGCTCTTCATTTTAAGCAACTTTGGTGAAAGCAAACTGCTGTGCTGTGTGTAAGTGATTTGCTTTGCCTCCCCAGCGCATTTACTACCTGTCCCTGGAGTTCTACATGGGTCGCACTCTGCAGAACACCATGGTGAATTTGGGCCTGCAGAATGCTTGTGACGAAGCCATTTACCAGGTAAAGTCTTGGGGGTACCAGGGTCCCCCTGAGGTACTGGCTAACCTTTTCCATGCAGAGGCACGGGTATCTTTATTTCTCAGGGCTTTACTCTAAGATTGTGTTCTTTTGACTGTACGAAACGAGGCTTGGCTCTCTCTTAGTGTTTTTCATTCCCTGCAGAAGACAGTGTGGGGACCCTTGGTTGCCTTGGAGTTAGAGTACGGTTTTTTCAAACCACTGTTTTCCTGTAGTGAATGGGAAAATCCAGAAGTGTATACAGAAAACAACACCCAGTATCCCAAATGATTAGGGAGTCACAGGCTGCAAAGAGCTTTCCGTTAGCAGGAGAGAAGATTGCTTACCACAGGTGATGTAGACTGATAGGAGAAACTGGGCCAGAAGAGGAAACTGGAGCACCAAAACACCAAATTACATTTCATTTCACAAGGCACAGCAGCAGAGTTGCCAGAGAGAAGTTAATCATTGAGAAGGGAGAAAGGAGGGAAGTTCTTTACTTGAAGTAAAATGTAATCAGATGATTTCTAATTGGAAAAAGACACAGATTGGTATCACCAAGACAATCACAAATGTGAGGCCATGGTTACTTATATCGTTACTTGCAGCCATCTCTCAGCAGCTCAGTGACATTTTTTGGCAGAATGTGAGTTTTTTGGCTTTCTCACCCAAAGGCTTTATTTCTCCCTGCCTCTTCCCCCTGGCCCCAGGTGTGTTGGGAGGTGTCCTATCCGGCATGACTCTGTCAGTGAGAGAATTTGCCTCATTTTTGGTGTCCCCATCACTCTGTGCATGAGGCTTTCCCATCTTGTGGTTGCAGACCACTGAAGTCTGGGAAAACAGTTTGGGGAGCATCCACAGTGTTGGCTTAACAGCCTGCTGTCCCCCCTGGCACCAAGGTGAGATACTGCTGCCCTCCAGGAGGCAGCATCTTTTGACTCCTGGAGAGTCCTTGCTGCTGGCATGCTTAGCCTTCATCCGGCAGTGGCCCCCAGGCCAGAGAACAAACAGTGGATGCAGGCAACCACTTCCAGCAATGGACTGCGGCCAAGGAGCTCGACTGCAGGCTGGACAGGATATGGGAAGCACAGAGAGTAATTACCGCCAGCCTGGTCATGCCCTTTCTCAAGGACTTGATGGATGCAAGCAGAGGGATGACTTGCCCTGCTGGACTTGGGGGTCCCTTGCACACCAGCTTGACCATTCACCATCCTGTCTCCAATGGCGAGTTTGGTTGAAGGGCCTCCTGGCATGGGGGGTTGCCAGGGGATGAGTGTTTTGTTTGAAGTCTCTAAGGAAACCTAGTTCATAGGAAAGGGGTGTTTGATGATGTGCTAAATTGTTTCCCAATTAACTGGGCTGCCCGAGGACCAGGAGCTATTGAGATGCTTTGTGAGGAGTGGTGGGGACGGAGCAAAGACCCTGTGGGCTTAATTTCCCACAGTGTGGTTGGTTTTAGGATCTATGTTTGGCCTCCTCGGAGAACAGCTCAGGACATGGGTTTTGAGTGGTGACATGTTCTACTGTGGCTCTTTCCAATAGCTGGGTTTGGACTTGGAGGAGCTGGAAGAAATTGAAGAAGATGCTGGGCTGGGAAACGGAGGCCTGGGCCGCCTGGCAGGTAATACAGGGAGAGGGAAGCCCCCTTCTTTTACAGAGTGCACGGGGACCAAGGGTGGAAGCTGTCACACCCTCGCCGCTGCCTTCTGCCCTGCAGGCCTTCAGCAGTATGGTACCTTCATACCTGTTCCTGGCTGGCCAGAAACAAGCCCCCTCCACAGTGAGAGCATCCAGGAGATGTAGGTGTGTGTTCTGCAGCGCAGAAGGCAGGGCTGCGGCTGAAAGAGGCTGTTGGAGCCTTTCTCCTCACCTCTATGAGAAATTTCTCACTTCTCAGAGGCACTCAGCAGCTATCACAGAGACAGATTGTTGACTGCTATTTTAGTCTGCCTGTCCCATGGGACAACTGGAGATGAGACCTCCCCAGTGTGGAGTAAATGCTG